CACCCATGATCTAGAGAAAAAGTATGCCTACCAAGATTGTGAGCCTTGTAATTTGAGCTCCTAGCTTCATGAACAAAAGTGCAAGTAGTAAAAGAAAGCTTCCAACTTGTAATTTCCTTAATGATTGCAGCGTAATGGCCACCTCCTCCTTCCTTGATGTTTCTGATGACAATCAAGCAATCTGAAGCAATATAGGGATGATGAACACCAATATCTTTTCCAATTGAAGTGCTTCCCGACAGGCAAGCGCCTCGTGAGTCGGAGGATCCAATATACCTGGGTATACTACAACAGAAAATCTCAAGCATACATGTCTCGTCCCAGCAAACAACCATAGCTCTTATGTCACCCACTCTAGATACTTCCAGCTGAATTTTACAAAATCATTCACAATTAGAAAACAATTTTCCAAAAAAATTATTCACCCTTTTTAAAAAGTATTTGTAATTTAAAAAATGTTTGCTTTAAAAATGAATTTCAAAAGTTGTTCAGATTTTTTAAGTATTTTCTTTTCAAAAAGCATTTAAAATTTTAAAAAATGTCCGTTTCAAAAAAGATCAAAATTATGAAAAAAATCATGCTTTTTAAAAACGTTCAGTTATTTCAAAAGTGGTGCGCAAAATTTTTGAACAAATGTTCATACGTTTTAGGAATATGTTTTCCCTATTTTTTCACCAATGGGAAAACAAGTTGATAAAACAAAAAACCAGTGCTGCAGTAACCGGTTGCTACATTGAACCACTTGCTGCAGTGCCCACCAATCGGCCGGCCCAGTCGGGCTTCCCTGTGCATCGTGCACTTTTTTGGACACAAAACGAATCAAATAGGAGCTCTCTCTCATGGACTATGTTTAACCAGTTAATTTCGACTCTAAATTTCAAAAGGAAGTTGTACTCTTTATCATCCAACATCCTTTGAGAAATCATTAGTTAAGGGGTACCCCGCACATAGGTCACTCCCTCACAAGTGCTCATTAGATGTGTGACACTTCTCGCAGCCTGAGAGTTTTCATTTTTTTCGTAGATTTGCTTTTCAAGACGTTCTATCTCTTGAGCCGCGCGTCCAAATCATAAACCGTTTTCACAGTTGAATTTCTCATATCGAGATCCTCAAAACTATATCCCATGTTAATAGGTAGTTTCGACGAACCTTTTTCACGAAGAAACCAGAAAACAAAAATCAAGAAAAAAATCAAAATCAAAAAAAGAACCAAAAATTGGAACCGCACGAAACCTTAACCCGGTGCCCTTTTTTCGGCAAACACAGTTGTGATTTTCCCTTTTCAAAAAGGGCATGTTGTGTTTTTCTTCTTTTCAGAAAGCATGGTTGTGCTTCTCACGAAAGCACAAGCTATGTTTTTTCGAGGAAGCACAAATGTGCTTTTCCCATTTCAGGAAGCACAAATATGCTTCTCGTGAAATCACAGGCTTTGCTTTTTTTAAGGGAATCATAGTTACCGTTTTACCTTTTCAAAGAAGCACAAGGACTGTAATTTTTTCCTTTTTTTCCAGGGAAGCACAATTGTGCTTTTCCCTTTTAGTCTCCCGGAAAAGCATGGCTTTTGGGGGCAAAACTATCAAAGCCCTGAAAACCAAGAAAAAAATAGAAACACGTGCAAAAGGAAAAAAAGAAATTCGAAGAGAGCGCTCAGCGCGTGACACATGGCGACGTCTAAGCACACCACTTGACATGCTCCAGGCCCTGAATAGTGATTACTACAGTTGTCCTGAAGGGGTGCCCCTTATCTAGTCCTTCCCCTCTTTAACGACATCTCAAAGACTAGGTAACATTGTGTCAAAGACCGAGCTCGATGCTGTGGTCCAGTAAAAACCGTCTTGGCAACAAACAGAGACCGATTCCATGTCATTCCCCAAGGCGGCACCAAGGCGTGACCTGATCCACCCAAGAACCTCTCTGTGGCCACTCTCTCGCCGCCACTACCACCGATCTCGGCTGCGATGGCAGCGGGCCCATCTGCCGAAGGTGGCTAGGGGTTGGGACAGCGACAACTGGCAGGAGCGGAAATGGTTGTTTTCTATTGTTTGCCAATCAGAGATTGGATCGCTTTGGTTTTTTCTTTCTTTTTTTGCTCACCTACCATAGGTTTGGTCTTATATGACTTTACTATTTGCTAGCGTCTTTTTTATGCGTGTGTGTTCGTGTTTGTTATGTGTATTCTAAGTATGCAGAGGTCAAGCGTGTGCTCATTGTGATTGTATCCTCTTGATGCTTCATTTTAAGCCAATAAAATTCACCCTTTATTTATAAAAAGTTAAAAACCGTCTTTGACGATATCCGGCCCAGCAAAACAAAACTGGGCTGCAACTGAGTGCAAGACAAGTGTGCCAACCGGCCTCTTTATTTTGTGCAAGAGCAACCTGGGACGGCCTGGCGCAACCTCGTGCACCATCACACACACTTCGACTTCAACGAGACACCTGCCGCGTTACGCACCAGCAGCTGAGTGAAACAGACCAAAACTTTCAGCTACCAGACCAGACTGGACCGGAGGTCGGAGGAAGGCCAACAAGCCATGACTCGCTCTGAATCTGAAAGCGCGGCACCATGACCATGAGTGACAGACAGCGTGAACGCCCAATGGCAGCAGCATGCCTGACCTACCCCAACGGCCCCTCCTTCCCTCTCTTCTCACACTGACCGCATCCGGCGTGCTCCCCCAATTTGCCAAATCCAGGCGAAAAACCCACGGAGCCTGCAGAACAGCCAAACCGAAAAATAATCAGTATAAGATCCCTTGGCATTCCCGGTTCCACATTTTAGTGAAGATGAGCATAAGCACGGCACGCCAGCAAAATATATGTAGAATCAGCATGACATGACAGCGGCAACAAATTACAGAGCACTTGAAATGAAATTTGGAAGCCTGCTTTGACAAACCTGAACCCTCCAGGCTATATATACATACGGGAGCAGGTGAGCTCTCCTCGCCCGGCCAACCGTACCAAAATTAGCCGTGCTACTTGCCAGGCCGTCCGTACCTGTTTTGGGTCACCAAATGCAACGCGCGCCGGACCTGCCCATGCCATTTCCTCCCTCCATCTAACCACTCCCCCAGCCCTCCACGCCACTCTCACCCGCTCTTCATTTACCCTCCTCGCCTCACGCTCCTCCTTCCTCTACCTCCTCCTCACTCGTTCACTCGTCTCCGTCCCAAGATAGGAGCCCAGCACAAACTCCCACGATCATTCTCTTCCAAAAGTGAGACACAAAAATGAAGATCAGTTAGAGGAGGGTTTTCCAATTCCTACTTGCCTCGCGCTTCCAGTAGTTGCCGCATTGTTCCTTCCGTTCCATACTTCCATCATCTCTTCCCCCCGCAGACTGCGGCGGGTTCTTGCATTCGCGAAGATGGCGCTAGCTCTGCGGCTCCTCCTCGTGTTCCTGGCAATTGGATCCTGCATAGCTGCCGACCATATCGACCTGTGGCCGATGCCCAAGACGGTGTCCCACGGGACGCAGAGGCTCTACGTCAGCAACAACACCACCATGTCGATGGCGGGAAGCAAGTACTCCGACGGCAAGGCGATCCTCAAGGACGCCTTCCAGAGGATGCTCGATTTGATGAAGCTGAACCACAACGCCGACGGTGCAAACCCAAGCTCCTCCCTGCTTACCGGTGTTAACATAGTCGTTCTTTCGACACAAGATGAGGTAACCTGCTCTCATTTTATCCGATGAACTGTGAGTTTCTTCACAAATTGCAAATGCCTGACTCTGTTGCTGTTCACCCTCTGCAGCTCGGCTTTGAGGTGGACGAGTCATACAACCTGACTGTTCCTACAATAGGAGAGCCGCTGCATGCGCAGATTGAGGTTAGTGAAAGCTGATTGCTTCATCTTGTGAAAATTCCTAATATAATGCTCTGGGAAGACATCAGAACTTACTTGGTTGCTTTACTTCTAGTTACTGCAACTCCTCTGTCCTCTTTGTGATAATTGCCTGACAGAGTATCCTGCCTACAGAGAAACAAACCATACAGTTACTGTTCTATACACAAACAACAGACTTCAGATGTGGCATAGAGTTTCATGCTACTAGCAGTATTTTAAACATGCTTACTTTGCAAAACATAACCCAGTTGCTTTTTCGATGAAGATAAAACCCAGTTGCTACATATACAATTCTTTAATAGAATTTGAACAGGCAAGTTATTACATACTACGGAGTATATCACAAGGCATCAAGGTAGTTTTCTCTTTTGTGCTTCACCGCATTCCAGCATCACTTGTGACATGCATATTGCTGTAACCTGGTTACCAACAAATAATTGCTAGTATTGGTAATGCCCTGCATGTTCTTCAGCTTATGAAATGAGTGATGTGTTCAAATTTATGGAAGATGCAAGCCGACGCAAATAGCATGATACGATTCATAAAAATAATTGATGCCACCTTTGCAATATTTTGTAGGCTCAAACAGTTTTTGGAGCACTTCACGCCTTACAGGTAACTTACTGCTCCAGTATGATTTTCTGGACACTAAATCTTCTTTGAGGTGATCCAACAGTAAATTATTTATGAATGTAGACATTTAGCCAACTGTGTCACTTTGAGTTCACATCAAGGCTTATTGGACTCAACTCAGCTCCGTGGATGATTAGTGATGCGCCCAGATTTCCTTACCGAGGCCTTCTTATTGGTGAGATACAGTGTGATATTATCTAACTTTCGCCCAACAAGCAGTTATTGTATTCCAATAACTAGAATCAGAACCTTGTTTTCGTTCAAAAAAAAGAAGCAGAACCTTGAAGTTACTTCTTTTTATTGAAGGATTTTAAAAAAAATGAGCAGCCACATAAAAAAACTCAATTCTATGCCAAAATTCTCTCATAGGCTTCTATATGTTAAATCTTATTAATATGCCCATCCTGCTCATGATTATTGCACTGCTGATTATCAATACTAACTTGTGTTTGGACGCTTGCAGATACCTCAAGGCATTATCTTCCTCTCGCGATAATTAAAGGAGTGATTGATGCAATGACATACAGTAAACTGGTAGGTCTGATGACCATTCAATACTAATTGTGTGACTAATAAGTTGCACGAGACTTCAAAATATCATTGTGTTTATGTTTTCTCCACATTAGTTTTCATTATGATACCATGCACTCTTACTCTGTCGTCATGCAGAACGTTCTCCATTGGCATATCGTGGATGAGCAGTCATTTCCGATTGAAATACCTTCATACCCAAATCTGTGGAACGGTTCATACTCTTATTCCGAGAGATACACAATGTCTGATGCCATCGACATTGTACGGTGCGTTTTATTTTCACTTCCATATTCATATTAGAATTCTTGGCCTCTGAAATTTGTTTATATCACAGCAAAGAAAGCTAACAGGTGTATCTTCTTATGATCGTAATTCACATCTGCACTTATAGTGTAAACACTGCAGCATGAAGAGATGGCATAGATAATAGATTCCATGTTCTACTAACTTAGATACGCAGTTATGAAGCTATGACACTAGAAATAATGTAGCCAATCCATAACTTTGCAGGTATGCTGAAAAACGAGGTGTAAATGTCTTGGCTGAGATTGATGTTCCTGGCCATGCTCGTTCATGGTAAGACATTCCATTCTGTTCAGTTATGTATATTGAAAATAGGCAAGATTGACGACTCCCAGGCGCTTCAATTGGTTGGCATTTGATGGATCATACTGTAAATCGATAATTTGCTCATGTACATTCTAAAATCATGACTGTTTGCTAGAACACATCGGACCAACTAAAATATGTCACATTAGTGTTTAGAAAACACAGCAGGTGTGAAAATGCTGGCTTAAGTTTTCATCCCATTTCTCTGCTAGAGTTCATATGTTCCGGCTAATGGCATAATTTCCTAATGTCCCGCAAACAATTATCAATTTTGTAACTGCAAAGCTCAGGAACCAACCTTGCCTTGCATATAGTCCAGAATTCCGTTATGTCTTCTGTAGCAAAAAGGCACATTTTATGCAGTGAGGGTAGAGTCCAGATACCTTATTGGAGTTCAAATGTGCAACCTAATTTATATAGTAGCAATAAGCATGACTGAAAGTTGTAGATGTTGCACTTTTTCAGGGGTGTTGGCTACCCATCATTGTGGCCATCAGATAGCTGCAGAGAACCGCTTGATGTCAGTAACAACTTTACCTTCAAAGTTATTGATGGTATTCTTTCAGGTGATGAATCATACTAGTTTTGTTGGCAACAGTGGAGTTAGGTTCTTCATTTGTTTATTCAAAAGACCATTTATCCCGAGAGTGTGTTCCAAAAGAAACCAGTGACCAATGCACATAATACATAGTGGTTACATTACCTAGATTCAGTAGCTATTGGCAAATATTAGTCGACAGTCTAAATGGATTCTTAACTCTGTTTTCTTTCAGATTTTAGCAAGGTTTTCAAATTCAAATTTGTCCACTTAGGAGGTGATGAAGTCAATACAAGTAAGTCGAAGCATTGCTTTTACAGTTGTCATAGTATTACTGAACAGTGAACCTATAGATTAACTCCATTTTATCATTTCCTTTGAATTTCAGGCTGCTGGACTGCAACACCACACATTAAGGAATGGTATATTCTTATCAACATAAGAGAACTCAAAATCGATAACTTTGCCTGATGTGCTTCCATAACCATGTTATCAATGCAAAAGCAAATCAGTCATATATTTTTGTATCAGCCAGTTAATCTAATGATCATCCTTTTTCATGGCACACAGGTTGAATAATAACCACATGAATGTGTCGGATGCATACAGATATTTTGTGTTGAGAGCCCAAAAGATAGCAATATCACATGGATACGAAGTCATTAACTGGTATACCTATTAGTTGAAAATTTCACAGGGTCGATAGAATTCTTAACCCTTAACAGACACCATTCCATGTTTGCAGGGAAGAAACATTTAACAACTTCGGAGATAAGTTGGACCGTAAAACCGTGGTGCATAACTGGTACTTCCTCAATCATGAAAATGGCTCTGTTGGAAACTGTAGAATAATACATGCATGCACAAAGAATCAGTAATGAATCTTCAATGTACCATAGGACTTAAATGGAATTAGACTCATTTACAAGCTTGCCATTGTTCTTGACATTTATGCTCACAGTAAAGTAAGATATAGCATCTCAGACACTTGTTGCTGGTTTCAGTAACTAACAAGCCATATGCACATAAATTAACAGGCTTGGGGGGGATGTAGCACCAAAAGTGGTTGCTGCAGGGCTGAGATGCATAGTAAGCAACCAGGATAAGTGGTACCTAGATCACTTGGATGCCACATGGGAAGGATTTTACCTGAATGAACCCCTGAAAGGAATCAACAACACAGAACAGCAACGGTTGGTTATTGGTGGTGAGGTTTGCATGTGGGGAGAGCAAATCGATGCATCGGATATTGAACAAACTATTTGGCCACGTGCTGCAGCAGCTGCAGGTAAGTAATATAAATAGTTTCAGACTCATAATCTATGCATTGAAAACTCGGAGCATGCATTGTTTTATCAAAACATTATCTTAGTTAGTTATATGATATGATCAACTACATTGCATTCCTTCATGATTAAAGGGACACCATACCATGTTGCCTGATTAGACATATTCAAACCGGTTATGTTGATGCAATATAATGGTATACTTGGAATGATAGCTTCCTTTCTGTATATGCACATGCCATGGATGTCTGAATGAAAAAATTGAGCACACTCAGAAACGTGTAACATTCCTATTCCCATATAGTGCAATTGAATATATCAGCTAAGTGTGCAATGCTCAGGTCTGTTCCATGCTTATGAAGAGAAAACCCAAGCACGGCATCTATTATCAAGGGCATAAATAGTTTAGCACATTGCTGAGCAGTTAAAGATGATTGCATTCACACTTTTCCATTGGGAGGGCTGGCATCCTAATTCCTCATGAATGCTCACAACAAAAACCGTCTTGTTATACCCTATATATCGGCATCTTACTTAAGAGCATGATTTACAGCTATAGAAGCAGAACCTATATGCAATCTTGTCGATTCTGATATTACTTTCTGTACATGTCACATCGACTGTTAATATTATTAATCATTAGATGCATGAATGCAGTGCCTTCTCTATGACATATTTTGACTCACCAATATACTTTAAACTGTTTTGGCTTGAAGAGAGACTGTGGAGTCCACTTGAGCAGATTTCTGAAGACACCAGGTCAGCCACATCAAGACTGTCACGCTTCAGGTGTTTGCTGAATCAGAGAGGGGTAGCTGCTGCACCATTAGCTGGCGATGGTCGTACAGCACCATATGAACCTGGTCCCTGTGTAAGGCAATAGGATATTCATAGCAAAATTTGAAGTAGCATTCAAAGAGGATACACATCATTCACAAGTGTTAGTTCAGCATTATGAATCTGGAGTAGTTATATGGTTGTGTAGACTATAGAAGGTTTCAGGGAGTCCTTACCCTCTTTATGTATTTCTGCCCCTCTCCAATTTTCAACTAGAATAGTTTGAATGGTAATGCCATCTATAGTATAACTACAAAATGATAGGGGCATCAGGAGATTAGTTGAATTTGACAGAAAATGGTCATAAAGGTTGCCTGAACAAATCCAGTAGGTTCCCAAATTCAATGTTTATTACAAACACTCAGTCATCTCTCCTACACATCAGCATGCATTATATTCACGGACATGGTTACTATCGACAAAGAATCCAAATGCTTACTAGAGATGTAAATCAGACAATACTTGGCCTGTCATATGCAACCACTCAAGTACATAACTCAATGATCTATTTATCTCTTGGTTGTGAACTGCCCCGTTCAGGAGCATTTATCTATACTATACTAGGACAGGCTGAGACATGCTACCAGACATACTTGTGCTTGGTGCCCCCTCTTGCTGACTACATTCATCAGGGTTTTTCCCGAGCAAAGCATGTTCACCAGCTTCACTATGAAACAATTTCTGGAAGTACTCAAGGCATTGCTCCATGTCTGCTGTATACTGCTTCATGCTCTCAACATGCCAAGAGAGATCTAATCCCATCTTCATCCATTTTATACCAACTGAAGCTTGATTAAGCCGCCTAGCCAAATATGACTTGTTCCAAGCAGTCACTGCAAGCCACTGCCCTTCCTCACATGGATATTCACCATCTCTCAGTCCAACCAAGATCTGGTAGGCTTGTCGATATACATCATACACTGCATCACTCTTGCTACCACTTAAGTCTTGCAAGCCAGCAAGGCAGGCTAGGTTCCTGAGGGCAGCACTGATTACCCTGTAGTTTGGGGAGTGAGAAGCAAGGGCGGTCTTGATGCTAGCCTTCAGGGAAAATTCAGCAACCAGCAGGTTTGGTGGGGTGCCTTCAGAAGCAGTTTTTCCAAGTTTGAGAAGATGGGACGGCGTGCATGCTTTAGAGGAAGCGAAGTTCTTGACTAGCTGGAGCTGCTGAGGATGTGCGCTGGTGTCCATCCTGTCAAGGAGTTGGTAGGAGTAGAAGGTATGAAGAAACAGAAAGTCATTGGCCTCAGCCTGATCAGAGGCAACTGAACCCGAGGGCCAGATTGAAGGTAATAGCTGCACATTAATAGAACTGAATCAGAATAATAGTAGAGAAAACTGAACCACTTTAGAACATACACAAGGGGTAGTAAATTTTGGTAGTTGTCAAACCCCATGTTTACCTTGCCAGCTCTGCTGAGCATGTCAACACCTTTTTTAACATCAGAATCCGACAAGGGAGAATTGTTTAGCTCCTCAGCTTCAAGCATGGAAGTGACACTCATGATTAACGCTTTGCAAAGTGTGGGGCGATTTCCATCACCCTCATCATTACTTGCAGCACCAAAGAACTCTGCTGCAAGCTCAAAGAACTCAGCACTAAGATCATACTTCTGCTCCTTTGCCACCTTTCTACCCATATTCCAGCTATTGCTGGCAAACCAGTTCAGTTCACGCGCCCCACCAGGTCCATTGCCAAAGAAGCCTTCCGCGCCAAGGTCAGACATCCGTAGCTTGGCACGTCTCGAGTACTTCAGGATCTCATCCTCAGTACCTTGCTCACGACGGAGGAGCTCAATAAGAGTGCGGAGGACAGTAACCTCACGCTCTGGCATAGGCTTTCCGGCAGAATAGAGACCAAGAAGGAAGGTCAATGAAGCAACTGCTACCCGGACAGCCTTGCAGGCAATAGCCTCATGAGTTGTGAGCATTAGGAATGTGGGATTGAAGTCAATGCAACCCATCATGGTTTTTATCTGCTTGATAGCCTCGTCCTCGTTGTTCTTCTGAAGATGAATTTTGATCTACACAACTCTTCTGGGTTAGCAAACAATACCAGAGTTAAATGAGACCCCTGAACAATTAACATGTATATTTATTACCTTCATAAAGGCACAATGGGCATTGTGTTCCACCTACAGATACAAATTTTGAGTCAAACGTAAGAAGCAGTAGGCAAGATTATTTAATGGAGTGATGAGGAGAGGGATCAATACCTTGTCAGCCTCATTGACAAACTCATGTGCTCGATCCAGACGTTGAAGGGCTAGATAGCAAACGGCAAGGACTCGGAGGCACTGTGCTCGCCGGGCTCTGCTTCCCTCTTCACGGGATAGATAAAGCATCGATGTCTCAAACAAGTCCGCGCATGTATCGTAGTTCTTTGCATTGAAATGCTCAAACCCGCTGTCCCAAATTCCAAATGTCAGCCTCAGCAAGAAATCATATGTACATAAAAATGCTGTAAAATTACTTGTGTAAGAGAGTGCAGACCAGTTCCAGAGCAGTGTATGCATTGCTCCACGGTGACTGGTGTTAGCCGGGCCATCGAACAGGGCGACCACCCTCTCATCCGACACGAGCTCACCGATCGCTCTTGCGCGCCCAGGGCTACCGATACCACCATCAACCACCGAGGTCACCACTCTCACAGCAGCAGCTGCACCTCCTGCGCGGCAACGTGCAGCAAGCGCAACGAGCACCTTGCGTGCAGCCTCAGGCCCCGCAGAGGCAAGGTACACCTCAGCTGCCCCCACGCATACATTCTCTGGTGCGTTGGCGTTGGCCATGATTCTCTTGAGCTCCCTCTCGGCCTCCGCCAAGTTCCCGGTGCCAAGCCACGCGTGCAGGGCCATGAACCCCATGCTCGGGTGCTCGTCCGCCTGCCCCACTGAAGCCCTCGAGACCTGGACACAACGCAGGACGCCCTCGTGGTCCTTGGCTTCGAGACGCTCCAGGGCAAGGTAGCGGAGGCATCGACCCTTTTGCTGCTGGAGATTTGGGGTCTTGGGACTGGCGCTGGAGGGGCAGGGGGAGGCCAGCTTCTCGAAGAGATCTAGCGCCTCGGTGATGAGGCTGGACGCTCCAACGGCGGGGTCAGAGGGTTTGGTGGATAGCGCGGCCTCGCCGACGGACAGGTAGCCCTCGGCGAGGGATCTGGTCCCCTTGGGGGAGGCGGACGCGAGGGGCTTGGAGCGACCGAGCAGCGCGACGGCGAGGGACTGATCGCCCGCGTCGGACGCGGCGCGCGCCCGCGCGAGGTTGAGGCCGAGCAGGACGTCCCGCTCCTCCTCCGCGGCGGGGGCGGAGACGAGCGGCGTGGCCTTCTCGAAGCAGGCGGTGGCGAGGTCGACGCGGCCGAGGCCGAGCCACTCCTGGCCGGCGCGGAGGAAGAAGGAGGCGGCCTTGGCGGCGGCGAGGGGGACCTCGTCGGGGCAGCCGGCGAGGAGGAGGAGCTCCGGCGCGGCCTGCCTGATCTCCGCCTCGGCGGCGCGCGCGGAGGGGCCCCGGGCCAGCGCGGCGGAGTTGGCGCGGTCGACGACGGCGTTCCAGAGGCGGGTGGCGAGCTTCCATATCTGGAGCCTGCAGGGGTCGGTGAGGGACGAGGCGGCGGAGCCGAGGTTGGTGAGCACGCGGCGGAAGTCGGCGGCGAGCTTCTCCGGGGGGGAGGGGTCGGGGGCGTCGTACCGCTCGACGTCCGCGACGACCCGCGCGAGGTCGGTGAGGTGGGCGGCGTGCGGCGGCGGGCGGTGGTA